CGTCTGTGTCGACCTGCCAACCACATACATCCTTCCCTGCTGGTCTATCGGCTGACTCTGGCTGCTCGCTCCCCCGGCACCTCTACCCGTGCTATTGGTCCTAGCCCGCGCACGTCGATTGGAAGACTCCACCACATACTTACCCGCGCCACTCCAGTTCCACTCGCCCAGACTGCTGGCCTTGCGCCCGGCGTTTAACTCGACGCGCGCCTTCTCAAACTCAGCCCACGCACGCGCCAACCGCGCCTGCTCAAACTCCACGCAGCGCTTCTGCTTATCACAGAACGACCCCAGGATATCGCCCAGCTCCTGCTTGACCATTCGCAGCGACATGTCCATGCCCTGCTGTAGCGGACTCTCAGGCACCTTCGTGAGATCGACACCAGACATACCCAGGGCTACATTCCGGGCCCCGCCCTTGTCTCCGTCTCGATCTCTGTCCTCGCCGTAGGAAGTGCGGTCCCAGTCGTCTGGTTTGGACACCCGCAGGCCACCACAGGTCATTATGTCCCCAATGGACTGCTGCGGTCGCAACCGTGCCCCCGCCAGACTGTACTGTGGGTGCCCGCGGTGTTCGCCAACGGCCGCCTCTTCATAGCTGCTGTTACTACGCACACTACCAGCGCCTTCATCAGCACCCAATCTGACGGTGCTAAGGCTGTCGGCTTTGGTGATGCCTATGGGTATGGGTGTGGGTGCGGGAGGTGGTGGTGCTGCAGACCCAATAATGACCGGAGTGGGGGCCTGAGATATCGGAGTTCCTGCCTTGTGCCCATTATTGACGCTACTTCCCGTGTGCGTGCGTTTCAGTGCCACTCCTCGAGGTGCCAACACCGGCCTCGGCTTCAGCGAGACGGGGGCTGGAGGGGGGCCAATGCGTATAGGGTTGGGGGCAATTGGTATGGCTTTTGGTGCGCTGGTGATGAGGATAGGCTCAGGCGCTTGGCGTATGGCGGGCGAGCCCTGGTTTTTGTCTAAAGCATCTGTGTCTGTTGGTGTAGGGTGGCTGGCTGTGATGTGAGTTGTTGCTGCTGCTTCGTCATGCGCGGGATGTTTGGTACGTGTGATATCTGCGTGTGGGCTATCCATGACTTTCGTATCCTTCCTTGAGTCACTGGTGGAGGTATTAGTGCAGGTCTCCGCGTCACCCAATCTACTTATGCGATTGGCTCTGCCCACACTTACGCTCGCCCGCCCCGAATCCTCTGGGCGTGCAGTGGCAGCCCCATCACTCGCATGCTGTGGCGAAACCACAGCGGAAACTTTACCATTCCGAATATTTTTCAGACTCTTGGGCCCTCCCATTTTCTCATCCTTTTCAGTGATCAATGGCACGTCCGGCTTCTTAGGTAAAAGCGGGATTGGTTGTGCAACCGCCCGCTCGCCTGAACTCGCCCGATTGTCTTCATCCGCTTCAGGCACGTCCGTGTCGTGCTCCATCTCACTCTCAGAGTCTCTGCTAGTGTCCATCGTGTGTACTTGGTTGGCGTCCCGAGTGCTCTGTTCGACACCGCTGGCGGTCGTGGCTACACCACTCGCAACCCCCACTGTACCCGAAGTTTTCTCATCCTTCTTCCCTCCATCGTCATCCATTTTTTTGCCAACTACATCATCATTCTCATTCATGTCCTTCTTTCGCGCCGAATCTGCATAGTGGCTCACAATCACCTGCACCGCACCCTGTTTTGTGTCTGCTTCTGGCTGACTACCCGATTCTGCATCACTCGCCTCCTTGACAGCGGCCGGTGCTTCAACGCCACCTACTTGTGTAGCTGGCGTTACGATCGGCTTATCTTTCGCAGGTTCTTCTCCGCCAATCTTTCCATCCACCTCTCCATCGCCGCTCGCATCTCGCTCTGCGTCTGCTCCTGTGCTAGCAGGCACATCATAAATATCAGCCTCAGATGAGCTATCCACGACCATGGTTTCAGACATGGCGTCAACATCGTCGCTGCACGAGGCGACTGCATTATCTGCTAACTTATCTATATCCATCAAGACCACACCGTTATCCTGTTCCGCATCATTTTGGGTTTTGCTAGGTTTATCGTCGTTCCCGCCTGTGCCAACAACAGACCCTCGTCCATCAGCCCCACCTTTCTTGGCAACAGGCCCCGCCGCGTCTGCGGATATAGACACACCGGAAGATATACTACTAGGCGGTGTGCCGGATCGGGGACTCCCTGAACCAGCCTTCACGTGGCTGTCACCTTTGTTTCTCTGCTCTTCTATACTCCGCTTGTCGGTCTCACATCCTAATTCCGTGGTCTGACTAGCCATACCTTCCTGGCAGTCACAGACTGATTGTTCACTTATACTACTGATACTGTCTGTCTGTGTCTGCTCCAGTATAGGTCATCTACTCCCGTTGTCACGCTACATGAGTCTGAAGGTGCTGTTCTCCTTGGATGTACCATGTAATGTAATTGAACAGAAAAATTCATTGCAAGTGAGTGGACCACAGTTAGATGGACATATTAGATCAAACATAACATACACATATACTTATACATATATATGTATACATATACATTTACACACACATATACATATATATATATATATATATATATATATTATATATATAATATTACTATTATATATATATATACAATATAAATATATATACACAC